GAACTGTTAAGCCAACGAAATACAAATAAATAATAATAAATAAAACTGGTCAGTTTAATTATGACAATAAATTGAATTTATATGCAAATTATAGTCGCTTGGTTGGCCACAAGCCCTCAGCGGAAACCGCTAATAGATGGCTTTGGCCATTTCCACCTGAAAGGGTGTGCGTGTGTATGTGGCTATAATGCGATTATGCACAAATATAGTCGAAGACTTTTAGATATATAATATATTATCTTTGTCTGCTTTCCAGAAGTCTATATTCAAATTTAGAACATTATGATTATAATTTAAGCCATAGCCAATTTATAGGATATAAGAAGTTGTGGTCGCATTTGAGAAATGCATGATGGCATAAGAAACATAAAACGGCATTCGCCTCACTCAGCTCGATTAATAAATCATGGCAACCAAATGTATAAATAAAAACAGCATAAAACCGCAATACCTCTTCCAATTCTGTGGAATCGAAACAAAGGCATCACATACCGGACGAACCAAGGGACTCCTTGAAATATTAATAAAAAAAAAAATATGTATATAAAGAAACGTGATATTAAAAAATTGCCTTATTTTTCTTCTTTATTTTTTAGATTTTGAGCTCAGCTCGTGTTCGGCTTATGGCACAGCTGCACCCATTCCCATATAATGATAAAGCGATGCTGCCACGAGCATCGAAATATTGCTTTTAAATAGATAAAAAGAGATGAAGGGAGGCTAAGCCACTTTGACTTCTGAATTCAGGCAGAAGAGTTTAGCATATGAATAAAAGCGGTGCGATGTGCCTTGGCGGAGTCTCTGACACATTCCCACTTTAAATTCAAAGCGATATGCGTGAGACGATAATACCAGAGCTATAGATTTATATGTTGCCATGCTGATGTCGATGATCCAGCTGTGATGATGCCACCAGGGCGAGACATTCTTGCCATGATGAAAAAATATATTTGAAATAATTAAATGGATGTCATAAAATTAATATATAAATACATTAATTTTAAAGTTATGTTACACGCTCTATCTGCAAATAGTCGTAGACGCGATAGAGCCACACCAAACAAAAGAAATGACAGCAAATAAATAAAAAATCATTAGCAGCTAGTTCTTCCGAGTTTCAAATCGCCCATTATCGATGTGGCGGCCGCAGACCAAACAAAGCCTAAACACCAAATAAAGCATCGTATCGACTAGCAACATATGAGAGCATTAAGCCACAAACTAGAATTAGCTAAATTCTTAGCTTGATAGGCGGTTCTGGCTTTGATGTAAGCCAACAAATCTGTTAAACAAATTATTATTTACCAAATTTCAAATATCTACCTAATAACACTAAAATCGATTTGCTGAAAAATTCATTCACAACTTGTGTTGTGGTCTCAAAAAAAATAAAACAATACAAAACAAGCATTTAATGCTCTATTCAAGAGTGATCGACTTGTAGATGCTCTATAAAAGCTGCTCATTTGCTTCTTACTAAAAAATTCAAATTAGTAGATAAACAAATATAAATAAGATAAGATTGTGTTTATGATTTTCCATTATCCTTAATATATTTTCTCTGCATATGGAGAGAGAGAGAGAGAGAGAATCTCTTTCTCTCTGAAATCATCAAGACCAATACAAACAGGGATAAGTCTAGATAAACTTGGCTGTAATATTCTTTTGTATTAATGAATTGACAAATTGCATGTACCACTTTGTATCCGGCTAGAGTATAGAAAAATTGGACACACAATTATTAAAAGGTGTTTTTGCCTTGAATGGGTGATTGCGGTTATGGATGGACATTGGTAAGCAATTATGCTAATGCCTTGCTAAAAATGGTCGGCTAAAATTCGTATTAATATAATGTATAGATAAAAATCCGCAAAAAAACGAAACAAGGTTCGACGTTCGATATCCGAAATCAGTTTCAAAATTCAACTATTCACTAGTTGAAAATCTTAAACATTAATCTTGACTGATAAATTAAAAATGAATTAATTAACATAGACGAACACTTGTCGTCTCACATCTCTGCCGCACCGTTATTGGTGCTGGCATTCGTTTTATTTTAATTTTTAATAACATTAACAGCTTTTGTTTAATGTGAAATTGTTTGAGAAATTTGTAGTTTATTTAATTATTTTTGTTTTTGGTACAATGTTTTATGCACGAGCGTGGGTTTCTTAATGCGGGCAGGGTGGGTACTGCTGTCATTTATTAGCAAACAGAGCACGTAAATACATTGCTCATAATAATATTTAAAATTCAAAACTCAAAGCCATCAACTGAAGCTGAAACTGTCACCAACAAACTAAAGTCACGCCCCGCAAAAACACTTGAATTTACGAGCATTTGGGTTTATTTCAAGCCATTTTTTTTTTTTTGCATCTGAAATTATTTTCTCGCTTTTATGTGATCATTACAATTTTTAAAAATAGCTTGGTTTATTGCAAAGGGCTTGGCTGCACCCTCCCAAATATATTAATTACAGGTAATTCATGACCACAAGAGCTGAGCAGCATAATACGAGATGATTCAGACACCGATTGGTTCCTGAAAACAATTCAGCTGCTGATCTTTTCGTAGTATTGCCAAAAATATTGTACATCGAACTGCGATCGTCGATTCATGCTTGCGTTTTTGTATTTAGGTTGACAGACAAATGTACAATTTCTGTCAATTGTTCTTCTTTTTGCTGTCGCTTTTTTTAATGTCAATGAACGCTAAAATTTTTCATTATATTTATTTAAAGTAGACAAAATAAATAATGAGAATATAAGCAAAATACAAAAAGCGAATGAACAACATGCATATTTAATACATATTCAAATTCTACAGAACTTACGAGTTTCATTATTTGAAATAACAAATTTAACGTCACAAGCAAGAATAATTTAAAATGCTCATGGCGCCACATAATAAATGAGAGAATTTATTTTTATAGAAAGACACAACAAACCAGCCAGAAAAACAAAAACAAATCATTGTCCCTATTTGAGTTTACAAGCGCATTCAATTGAATTCAAACTATTCGAATAGTATGCTCTTTCCAATTTCTGGGTGCCACACAATAAATGACAGCCCCAATGCCATTCCACAGGGCAGAAAGACTCTTATCAGTCATTGCAATTATGTATTACATGTTTTGTATATATATGTATTCATTTATGCATAACGTATTAAACATGTGTCGGATCCAGGGGCTGACAAGCGTAACCACTTCCTAATACGCAGCCAACATTATTTATTATTTTCCATTTACATATTCCCGTACTCGACTCATGTACATATGATATTGTGTTCGTGTTGTTTTTCAAAGTTACACAGTGCATTGGCTCAGTTACAACCACTCATCGTCCTTGTCTATTTTTCATGTATTTTTATATACATATGTACAACTGGACAATCAAATTAGTGTGAAGACAATAACTTGTGCATTTTAAAAATAAAGTATAAGTACCATATCCAAAATACAATATATTCATTTGTAAGTATGGCGACATTGTTTCTAATAAATATATTATAATCTCGTTATCGTTACAGATCTCAAATATTGCATAAACAAAATGCTTTACTTGCAGTTATATTTTTGCAGACGTAGACGCAAATAAATCTTCAGATGCAACTGCTGCAATATTTGTCTTGCACAATCTTGTAAAATCTCATTGTTCGAGAACTAACACTATTATAAGAAACCAAATCCATTTAACAAATGTTTAATGTAAATGCAAGGGTTAGAAAGATCCCCTGCTTTATCTATTCAGCAGCTAGAAAATAAGTCAACATTGTTAGATATATAAGGCTGGGATTTTAAGAAATAAAAACAGTACGATTTTACACAAATATTAATCCATATAAACTTATTCGATTGTTTTCAAATCGAAATATCACTATAATGCTCCAAAAAGTGTTTTGTAATTATTATGTTAAAAGATAAAAAGATCATACATAATAAAAATAGTACAAAAATATTTATCATATTTATTAAATGAAAAATGCATTTATATATTAACATTTTCGATCATTGAGAAAACTGTTTTAAACATATTTTTTCTTATGTTAGAAAAACTCTGAATGTAGTAAATAAGTTCGTTTTTGATAAAACAGAAAATTATGTTTCATCTGATTCTGCGAAAAAAAAGCTTTTTATTATTGATAATACCAGAAATGAGATAAAACCATATTTAACGGAAGCACACATTTAGACGGAATAGCGTAGCTTTAATCTTACTATCAATCTTAATCATTCTATTATCACGAATCTTACTGCATATAGTGTGAATGAATACGTTTTGAAATTTGGGCTTTACGTACATACAGGCAGACATTTGCATAACAACAGCGTTAGGGAAAAGAATATTACATGTTTGTTCTCAAATTCATAAAATAGATTATACGCTTTAATTTGTTTACTTCTGATGTTTGTTCAAAAAACACAGAAGCATGTGCACGTATGCTCTTTCCAACAGTTATAGGGTATTTTAAAGGTTCCCTAGGGAACCATAGCCCGCTTTCGTTCTCCCTTTCTGCTGCCTTATTTCTTCTCTCTATTTATCGTTTTCGTTTTGGTTTTATGCAGCACTAACATTTTATACAATTTAATCGTTTGCTTGTGCCGGCTTGCACTGAAATTGAAATTTTATTTTATTTTATTTTATCATGGTTTTTTATTTTTACAGTCTGTGCAGCGAAGCGTGTATATTCAAATGCGATGGTCATAGCAACGACGCTTTCTTTGTGTCTCTTTGAGCTTTAGTTAAAAAGTAAATAAAATAAAAATAAAAAAAAAACACACACACAACAAAAACAATACAAAAGTAAAAATAAAAAAGAGAAAAACAAAATCAAAAAGAGCGAAGCACGCGAAAAATAGCGACAAATCAACCGAATTTATAAAAGAAATGAAAGAACTCGACAAATCGATGCGAAATCGAAGCAATAAATTAAGTTGAATTTCGAATTGGAAACGCAGGGCTAGGCCCGCTCCCTATGTTAGAGTTGTACGTACATACCTGATTATCGACCAGCGAACTGTTGTAGATGAAATCCTTCTTTTTCGAATATACCTCCGGCTGTGTGCCTTTGAACGAGTAATACGGGACATTGTTGGACACGTCGAAACCATCCGACCGATCCGGCTCTGTCCAATTGGCAAATTGAATGGATGAATCGCTCATTGGCCGATTGAAGGGCGAATCTTTGCGCCATCTGTAATCATTGTGCAGGCAGGGGGCAGTGTCTGAGTCGGGCATAGATGCTCTCTCCACATCGGCCTTGCGGAGCAACTGATGGGACTCTGCTGGCAACTCCGTTCGTATAGACGCCGCATCAGACATCGCGGGCTGTCAATCACTCTACAAAAGGGGGCACGTGCAGAAATGTGCACGATAAGTGGCCGATTTTTTCTTCTTCTTCTTCTTCTTCTTTTTCCTCTCTTTCTCTCTTTTTTGTATATTGGTTTTTGGCCAACTAACGGCGGATGGTGGCTCACTTCGGGTTTGGCTCGGCTCTGTAAATTATGTATCTATTATGTTGATATTGCTGGCTTTGCTTATTTAAGTTAATTGAAATTCGGCAGTCGCAGTTGCGGCAGCAAACGCTGCCGTTGCCCTTGCCGTTGCCGTTGTCACACGCAACTGCTTGACTGCTTACGGGTGCTTGGCTCCTGATTCTAATTGTATAGCTAAATTAGCTATATTAGTGCATTAGTTATGGCCAGGTTAATTAAATAAAACGATTTAAGAAAGTTAGTATCAGAGATCGGATAAGATAACTTCAGATATAAAAAATGAGATAACTTATCATATTTATCATAATTGCTATAAAGATTTTGGCGCCATATCCAAAGCAGCCTCAAAGTTTTGTCACATTTCTTTTATTAGATATTTTATTTAGATATTTTTAGTGTATGCTCAAAAATGTATATATGCACTTCATGTTTTAATGTTGTTGCATTTCATGCTGCACGTTCAACTTAACTTTAATAAGCTTTAGCATTTTTGACAATTTTGTTTTCATCATTTTTTTTCATGTTACTTTTTATTTAAGCAACGTTTTCTTATCGTCGCATCGCTGGCAACATGTAGAGAAGGTTCTCAAGACCCCGAGTCAAAGTTGACCACACAAGCATTCTACATTCACACACACACACATACACACACACACACACACAAGAACACAATATTTTGCCGACGCACATACACACACACACACACATACTGAGACGCACACAGAGACAGGTATGCGCATGCGCAGCCACATTTATATTCATATCCATATTGACATTATAACCATCATACCGTTAGGAGTAAATAATGTCACGACGCGCAGCGGAAACATGTAAGCCGAGCATTGTAATTATTTGTTTTCTGTTATAAAGAATCGGAATTGGAACTTGGTTCATTGGACAGTCAAATCGCTGCGCGCGCAAAATAAAAATACGAAAAAAATGTGGGAAAAAGCAGAAAACAAAACCCGACCATAAATTTAAAATCGTTCGCGCGCGTTATCGTTTCGCTCGCTTGAGCTCCCTCTTCTGACTACTTATGCTTATGTTTGTGCTCTGGCCGGAGCAGTTGCTGCTGGCTGGCGTTGCCGCTGAATGTGGGCAACAGCAGACAAACTCTCACACATACAATACATACACATATGCACACACACACACACACACACACGCTCACATACATACACTTACGCAAACATATACTCTGTGCTTTCAAGTATTTTAGCCAAAGCTGGCAAAGATCGGCAGTCGGTAACCAGAGGCCACGCTGCATGGTTTTGTGTATGTGCTTGCTTTACTACGTCCTGTGTGTCCAGGCGACAAGGCTTGAATGGCTGGAAAACTTGCCTGAAGACAGCGTTTTTCAGTTGTATTGCATCGATGTGATCTCGACGCGAGCAGAGATCATCGTTCACATATGCTATTCGAAATGAAACGTTGAACGTGTGGAGCAGCTCTTACACATACACACATGCAAACGATTATAAACACATACTCATTCACACAGAAAAAAAAAGCTTGAAAGAGCTTTGCAAGACTCTCTTAAACTGATTGCACTGAGTATATACGAGACCTGCTTTTTATTTAATGCCTCTTCGAATCAAGCTTTGCTCTCTTGTGCTTACCTTTTTTCTATAACTATAACCGATTTTTTATAAGTATATTTATGAAAAACTGTTTTTATTTTTAAAGATCTTCTGGCCAAAAGTCGACCATTTAAAGATGAAAATAGTATTTCAAAAATTGACTATATGTCGAGAGTATTTATTCCACGACAAAATGGTAAATAATTCCAAGCTACAGAACCTAATGTTTCATTCATTCTCTTTTAATTCTGCACCAGTGTCGTTAGGTGTTTTCAGTAATTTATCAAACGTGCTTGAAATTTTATTTAAGAAATTATCCACAAAATTGAAATCAGTTTTAATAAATATTAATCATTTTTATAATTTTACTGTATATGAAGCCAACCTTGCTTACTTTTCTAATACTTTCAGCTAAGAAAGCAGAAGGGAGCCGGAGGGAGCCATTATTTATTTCCCTTAATTGACTTTTCTCTTGGACAACTCATTTAACGGAGTCTGCAAAAAAGGAGAATATCAATTCAATGATTTATTCAGCATTATTTATTTATTTTAACACATTTATGTCATTTCAGCTCAGTCTATTTGGGCTTCGAACCTCTCTGACCACATCAGTGGTCGAAAATAGCTCAGCCTAGGCTCTATCAATATTATAACTTACTCAGAATAGTTGCCCATACATTGTTTGCTATGGCAAATTACCATATGTAGCAATTGACCTCTTTGCATATAAAAATATTTTCTTTAATCAAACGCAACAACCCAAGAATTAATCAATTAAAAGACGACTGCTTGTTAGCCACATTAAAATATAGTTGAAAATTAAAAATCCATTTCGCAAATGTTGCTTGTGCATCACTGCCACTTGGACGTAGGCAGTCGAGCGAGCCAACTGTGAAATACTCTTATAACAATCAATGACACCATCCTAGTAATCTATCTTCCAAGTTTGCCTTTGAAAAAAATATTAGTGAAAGTTCTTCCTTTCAAGTTCGGTAAATGTAGGTCTTAAATTACGGTAAATATAGACTTTGTGAATTTTTGGGAGCGAGAAAAAATTATTGAGAAGATACCTAGTAATCTTCTTCCCATTTTTGGTTTGTAGCGTTTTTATAGATCTCTTAGGGGAGTTACTAGTATCAGAAACCAGTACTACACCTACAAAATTTTGACGGCTCTAACTCAATAACTGCGGAAGACATACCCATTTCAATATTTGAGCCTGGGGCAGCAGAGATGGGCGTTGCATATGCCGTCGAAAAAAGTTGCATTCATACAGACGGACGAACAGCGTGACGGACATTGCACAAAACCAATATAGTATGGTTCCTTTGGTTTCAAAGTATACAAATTTGGGAAGCTTAAAGCGCTAATGAATAACAGAGCAGAGCAACAAATTTCAGACCACTGCTGCAACAAGGCGTTGCATAGAGCCCCAGCGACGTGCAACATATGTTGTGTAATTAACAACAGTCAAATTCGAATTACAGGCACAAAATTGAAAACAACATAAAACAGAAGCCAGCTGCAAATATTACAAAATCCGACAAATTATCTTCTTTATATGCCCTGTACTCTTCAAAATTAATAAAACGGGTATAGTAAAGCTTTTCATTTAGTCATCTAAAATGTGAATATACATTTCAGATCGGCTTGGAAGGCATTGATCTCCGATAATAAAATAGCTAAGACCATGGATGTATTTTGTATTGTTATTTTTAATAAATTCTAGAAGAAAACCCAATTTAAATATAAAAACCTAGCAACACACGGATGCGATTTAACTATCAATTTTATGTGTTGTGCAAAGCTTTTATTATTTTATTATTTAATTAAACTGAATACAGATATTTTTAATCGAGAACTTTATAGAAGGCCTAAAATATTTGGATGTAAATTGAATACGGGGTATTTTGCAATCGATAACTTTACAGAAGAGAAATCATAGGCATTCTCTTATTACCATCAAGCCGAAGAAAGAATACCTTTAAAAAATATTTGAATACTACTTAACATTGACTGTTTAATATTTATATATTTTCAATTCAATACCCAAACTGACATAGAATGATTTAGTAACCTTCCAATTATGGGACGCTTGAAGAGCATGCAGCACTGGCAACACGCAGATGTTAACAATCAAACGCACTTGAGACACCGAAGACAGCAGAGTATCAAAGGCGGAACCAACTGATGCTGATGCTGACCAAAGCACCGCCAGACAGCAGCCAACAGCCAACAGCCACCAGCCGCAATGTCTTAATGTATGCGCAGCAGCAGCTCGCAACAATTTGTAGCTTGGCCCATTCTATCTATCTATTTATCTATCTATCTTAATCATTTAGACGTGCAGGCAGCACAGCACGCGCATCCATAAACTTTTGTTTAGCATTAAATGCCAAAATAGCTCTGGACCAACCCGAAGACGTTGCCAAGACGCATGCAGATGCAGTCAAAGAGTGTGCCGAATGATCTCCCTCGCTCTCTCTCTCTCTCTCTCTCTCTCTCTCTCTCTATCACTCTCTTGGCGACTAGTCGCCAAGTCCAAATATAGATATTTGTATATATGCATATGGTTCTAATATGGATCAGACAGTGCGTCTGTTTATCTGCGAGTGTGTGTGTGTGTGTGTGTATGAGTAGTGTGTGTGTGAGTGAGTGTGTGTTGTGCGTGCGTTGCTTTGTTTATATAATTTGATGCGGTCTTTTTTGCTCGCTTTCGGTTTTTTTTACATTTTTTTTTTCCCAGCACGCTTGATTAATAAATATTGATCCTGATTGAATGATGGAAAGCTTACGAAAACTTAAATGACCATGTGAGATGCGAGCTGAGAGCTGTGAGCTATAGAGGCCATATAAAGCAAGCAAACTATTATTATTAAGAGTTCAGGTTTTAAAGTTCGTTTGACAGCTGCTCAATCAAATCATACATATATATTTGGGCTAACTAAACATAAACCTTTTTGACATTCACCCCCTCGCTGTGTGCCGCATTTTGGCATGCCAGTGGGATCGAAGATGTAGCGCTCTGATGTCTAAATTTACGAAATTTGCAAAAATCAAAGTCAATTACGTGCGCTGTCAATCAGCGGCAGGAATCGAACTCAAAAATCGGACAAAGACATGCGTAAGAGCATTTTAGTGCGCAAGCTGCGTGGCGCATGTATCTCAAAGATACATTTCGCTTAAGTGTATGGCATACATGATCTATTCAACTACTATAGTACATTTTTTGTTTTGTTTTTATTTTATTTTATTTTCATTTTTTTTTTTAAATAGATTCATTGCACGCGTACGACAGACTATATCGAATCATAACCAGATGGCCAGGGAGCCGTTGTGCGTTGACCCTGAGACAAACGCCCTCGCAACGCGAAAACATAAACTAATGTATATCCATAGAATCCGTACTATACATATATACAACACATATATAGCCACATATAGTGCCACAGGGAAAGAAAGGGAGAGTGTGTCTGTGTTGGCTATGCAAATTATAAGCACAAACTTGCAAATATTTATAGGAACAAGATGGCAAAGACTTCAAATGGAACACTTGATTACTCGACTTTTGATATATCCCATTATTTATTTGCCAGCCACAACAAGCTGCTGTTGTTACAATGAACTCATCTTATCAGATGCCATTGATGAGTTAATTACGATCAATAAAATGCTAGCAAAGACTATATCCAAACTGTCTTGACTGTCCATCACAAGTTTCACATAAAACTAATGTGCTTATGGTATCCCACGGATATTGCGTATAGGAACCCGAATTACGATGAGAAGAGTACTGCTGTATCGTAAAATTTGAGTGGCCGCTGAAAGGCAGCATCATAAAAATTGACTTCAATACAATAGAACTACTATTTCCTGCAAATCGTCAAGGTTGCTACCGCTTTGAACTGCCCGGCGACTGAAGAATGATATTAGACATTAAACAACAATTCGATGAATGACGCTGCATAAGAATAAGTATGATAGCAACTCTGATGTCAAGCACTGAATTAAAACAATAGTATCACGTAATAAGACATTTTCCACTTAATTACATATCGTAAGTACATTTGTAACTGAACTCTAATCTTCGAAAGTATTTAAGTGTCGGAGATCAGAATGCGATGCTTTTACTTTTGCTTACTCAGGCAGATATTGCTTACATTTCTTTCGAATGGAAGATAGTTAAGCGTTTTGATTGCGGAATATATTCATGCCACATTTCTTTCTCTCAGCTTGATCTTGTTGAATTCATATGTTGCTATCGCTATCCACTTGCATTTAAATTTAAAAAAAAACACGTAACTTTTTTGAATCGACTATCTTCTAAAGTGCGAAGGTGGTCCTTCTGACCAAGCTAGAGTTAAGGACCAGGAACAAATGTCCAGGTTCGAATGTCATAAACCTACAAGCTCGACTGTTAATGTATACATTATGTAGTCAAGTGTGAGTTCCTACAAAATACTTCAATTGAAACATTCATTTATTTTTCAATGAATCGAGTGAGACATGCATATATTATTTAATGTAAGAACTCCATATGAGAAGCCCACCGAACGGATTTCAAAAAAATGTTTTATGCATTTCTTATTAAATCGTTGGTTCATTGATTCCAACAAACGAAATTGAATGCAAACACATATATACATATAAGTGTAAATGTATATATATGGCCAAATGTATATACAAAATAATGAATATGCATAAATACCAAGGCGTATTAGAAACATAAGACCAACCGAAAATGCACAAAAGTATTGAAGTAATGCACAAAACTTACTTATATCTGCGCTGCGTCAGCAGCACGAGTCGCATTTACCAGCTAAGGCAAAAAAAAGAAGAAAAAAAACTTAAAAAAAAAAAAAAAGAAAAAACTGGTGTGAGCTTATGGCTTATGGTTTGTATTGCTTCAGCCTAAGCTCTTGTTTATGGCATGAAAATGGGCTTATTCCATAGAATTGCACATGGTACTCGATCAGTCCCACTATGGCGTCAATTGCAACACACAGCTCGACACTTGCCACTTGCCACTTGCCACTCGAAGACGGAGGCTTCAATTGATCCTCGACGGCGATATGCACAGCTGTGTTTTGGCTGCAGCTGCATAGATGAGTCGAGTCGATGGGGGGCTCATTTGCGTAGCTTTACGACTCGAATTCCGCCAAAAGGCAACCAGAGATTCCATTGCTGCTCTTACTTACACCTTCCGTTGCCTTGAACTATCGACTTTACACATTTGACGCGCATTTTAATTACATGGAGAGCTCTTCGTGAGCTTTGTGTTGCACAATGCCAACCGGAATGGGCGGTTGCAAGAGGCGTAACTTCTCGTTACGGTAGCTCCAGCCAATCGTCATAATGATTTATAAGCACAAGAAACCAAGTAAAGATGTTTATTATGTTAGTATCGACTTCAATAATTTATATACTTAAGTCTATATCATAAAGTGCCTAAAGTCTGTTCTTGTTGACTTAATATAACTATATACCCCATTTGTATCTTTGATGGAGGGTATAATTAATTTTGCTTGCAGCTGAAGAGCCTCAGCCATATTTATAAGTTATTAACTGGCTTGCCAGCGATTGGTGTCGCTGTAAGCTATAAAATTTATGTACCTACCATGATATATAGACAATCGTACATATATCAACCATAATTGACCTTTGTCACAGCAGACCAGCAACACAATAGCTACGTCTAGATATTAGACCCCAGCCCCAGGCACAGACCCAGACCCAGACCCCAGAGAAGTGAGTTAAAGTCTTGTAAATTGTCATGAACAAAATTATTAATTGATCTTGGATAAACGTCATGTGGCAAAACAAAAGAATAACAACATGTATGTAATAGCTGCAAGAATTAAATTACATTTATAAGACACTTAAGACTGGCGCCATTCAGAGAATATAGTATACTTGTTGAATTGCTATTTTGTAAACGGGCATTACACAATTTATTGTATTCTCTTTAAATACTTGAACATTTAAATGCGGCTTTTGTGAATAAAAATGTTATGCGGATCTTGTATACAATTTAATTATGCGTTTTCTTGACTTACAGATTTATTTTAAATACCAGATACTTACCTCATGATTTGGCTTGGAATAAATTCAGATATGCAATAATCCAATAACGTAGAAAGTCTGAAATCTCTCGAAATGTCATCATTCTCGTTATATTATTTATATATATATATATATTTTTTTTAAATGTTTAATTTAATTTGTAAACTTAATTCTAAACTTACTTTAAAATGTATTTTCTGAAGACCTTTTTTACAAATTGTTGACTATTTTTGATCTCCTAGATGTACACAAAAAATAAATAGACAAGGAGAACTCATCAGTTAATAACAAATGCAAAAAAAAAAAATGTTTATTAAAGATTAAACGGCTATTTTTCTAGGTATTGGGTTATGTAACCCATTCAAAAATCTGTGAAGAGTGGCTAAAAGAAAATAGAAAACTTGAATTTGGAACAGTGTTGCAAATAGCCCCAAATTGATTGGGTCTTTTTCAACACTATCCAATGACAGTCGGCCTACCAACTAGGGAAATTAAGTTAAAACCAACCAGTTTGAACCGAACGCACCCTCTAACCGGACGCAAACAATGGACGATGGCGAAGAAACAAGTTACCCTGACAACGAGGACAGCAACAAAGGGTCAGGCAAACAAAAAGCGAGAAGAGCCCGAAAAACATCGAGTGTACAGAATGAAGATGACGAGTTGGAAACAAAATGCACTGTCAGCTATTTTACTCTATGCGTTTCTGGCCAAATAGTATCGGCGACATTTCCGCTGGGTCCCGACAGAGAGTTCATATTCTGCCGCTTCGAGCTGATCGCCGGTCCCGACTGGCAATTGGTATCTGGGGTGCAACACGGCCTCACGCAGATGGCCACCAACAAGGCAGGCCACTTTAATGACAAAATTGCTTTAAGCATGCCCCTTGATGTCACATACAAGAGCACCAGTCCCTTTGGCTGTAAGTTTTGGTTTATTCTCATCACGTTTTAGTTACTCCTACAACAAACTCATTGCAGGGCCACAAATTCTAGTTAGCGTTTTTGGACAAAACGGACGCGGTGCAGAAACTTTGTTAGGTTATGCACATGTCCATCTGCCCATCTTCGGCAATTGCAGGCAGGAGCAGCAGATGTCCCATCTAAGTGAAGTTCCTATTTTGATGCCAAAGAGCCCGGGCATGCTGGCCGATGTGACCAGTTGGCTGCTGCGACGACAGCCGGAACTCAAGGATCCCAAAGTTCTCCTAGACAATCTGCAGTGCAAGGGTAATCTATAATTATTATATAAATGGTTACAGTGGTAGCTCAGAAATTAACACATTTAGAAATTATAATTCTTAAAGATTAAAAGTGCAATTTTCAATTTCAAAAATTCCACATTAAAAAATGTCACATTAATAAATAATTTCTGATACTTACTCTTCCCAAAGTCAACAAATTTTGTCTTTAGTTTACTGAAGAGTTACTTTAAAGGTCAAGCATCAAATATGTAGGTCACTCCAAGTTCACGTGCAAGAACCATAAATATCACTTTTTCTATTGAAATAAAATACTTTTCAAGTTCGAACTAGAATCAATTTTGTAACCGATCCATTTCCAATAGCGAGCGCATATTGTGTCACATGTTTCTTCTGCCTTATAATAGTTGCAAAATATGTTCGTTTTAGGTCTATCCATGGAATCCTATGGCACGCTGGAGTTCCAGCTGCATACGATAATGAGAGGAGCACGTAAACTGGGCTACAACTGGCATGCCTGAGCTGGGATATCGAATAAGTTGACGTTCAAAATGAGTGTTAATAAAACGTGAATTGCTTCCAGCGAAGCGAAGAAAGCGTTTGTCTTAATCTAATTGGCTCTAGGAGGGTTGGGCTGGCTGGCTTACCATAAACTTGACCATGGCTTGGATTGACTGCTGAGGACAATGACGCATTTCGCTGCTCGATAACGCTAATCCGACGCAACAAATTTGCAGCAATTGGGAAAGAAATTGAAAATTTAGCGACTTTGAATTGGCCACATAATTGGATTAGGTGGCAATTAGTGTAAGACTGGCTAGTCTCAAGTGTTTTTTTGTTTGACTCAAGGCCCGAAAACATATAAAGACAGCACAAGTTTTTGGCCCAGGGCAGTCGCGTCCAGGCCAGCGCCAAGAGTAATCTTGAGAATCATTTCCTCTGCTATGGACAGCAAATATTAGACAATTGTGCGGAGTAACTAAAGTATCCAGCCAAGTGCAACTAAAGTTTCTTGTTAACGCTTTAGTAATACTATACAACCATGATAAGTCTGAATCAACCAAGTTTTGCGCATCTTCGCGATGGCAACAATCTCAGCCTGGCGGAGAGTGTGCCTGCCGAAATCATGCACATGGTGGATCCGTACTGGTACCAGTGGCCCCCAATGGAGCCGATGTGGTTTGGCATTATTGGCTTTGTCATTACCGTGCTGGGGTAACATATAAATTTCGTTAAGAATATTTAGCTATTTTAGTTGACTTCCTATTTATTTGAAATAGTGTGATGTCATTGTCTGGCAACTTTATTGTGATGTATGTTTTTACGTCGTCGAAGGGGTTGCGAACACCTTCCAACATGTTTGTGGTTAATCTGGCCTTCTCCGATTTCATGATGATGTTCACCATGTTTCCACCGGTGGTCCTAAACGGCTTCTATGGCACCTGGATTATGGGTCCGTTTCTGTGCGAGCTCTACGGCCTTTTTGGTTCCCTGTTCGGCTGTGTATCCATCTGGTCCATGACCCTGATTGCCTATGATCGTTATTGCGTCATTGTTAAGGGTATGGCCCGTAAGCCTCTGACGGTTACGTCGGCGGTTCTCCGACTTTTAACTGTGTGGACAATTTGTGGCACTTGGGCTTTACTTCCGATGTTTGGCTGGAATCGATATGTGCCTGAGGGTAATATGACGGCCTGTGGCACAGACTATTTTGCTAAGGATTGGTTCAATCGCTCCTACATCATTGTCTACTCCGCTTGGGTCTACCTCACACCACTATCGACCATCATCTTCTCATATTATCATATCTTGAAAGTAAGTATCAGTAACTGAATTTTGCATTCTGTTGGAGCTCCAACTTATTAAATCCAATCTTAAGGCTGTTGCTGCCCACGAGAAGGCAATGCGAGATCAGGCAAAGAAGATGAATGTCGCCTCTCTGCGCCAGACCGAAGCAGAGAAGAGCAAGGCCATCGAAATCAAGCTGGCCAAGGTTGCATTGACTACAATTTCGCTTTGGTTCTTCGCTTGGACGCCCTATACAATTATCAATTATGCGGGCATCTTTGAATCAATGCATCTGTCGCCGCTTTCAACAATTTGCGGCTCGGTTTTTGCCAAAGCAAACGCCGTTTGCAATCCAATTGTCTATGGCCTTAGGTAAATATTTAAGCAGGGATTCAAAGAGAAATTAATTTATATCATTGCTTCACTTGACTTCTTGTCAGCCATCCCAAGTACAAGCAGGTGCTCAAGGAGAAGATGCCGTGCCTGGCCTGTGGCAAGAACGAACTTGCCGCCGACTCCAGGACGCAGGCCACCACAGAGATTAGCGAATCTCAGGCTTAAAACAAAATATCGACGACTGCAGCAGACGACAAAGGAGACGACGACTTGTGATTATTATACACAGGCACTGACAGCTTTACAGAATTTAAATCAGCAGCCGACTTGGCGTAATTCTAGTAGATATGTGTTCTAAACCTTTGCATACAAACAAACAAAAAATTAAAAAAAAGAGAGCATTCAAAAAAATGTTTAAAAAAAATGGAGCGCAATTTAAGAAGATAAACTGCAACTGATACAAAATCAAACAAAATTATCTGGTTTCTTTTCTTTTTCTTGTTTTAAAAATAGTATTAAGATATTAACTGCTTTATAAAGCACATTGCCCAAAAGTTGTACGCCTTTTATTGAAAAATTAACATTTCAAACAGTCCTTTATTCCTGTATTGTAGTTGCCGGTATCAGTTGCGGTTTTCAATTATAGTAGTTGGTTATGTCCAGTTCATTAAGGGTGCCATTGTTGCGGCGTTCGCGCAACTCCTGCGTGAAGAGAGCATGTCCTTGCAGCAGTATAAAGTCTATCAGCCGCTTATCTGAGCTAAGACGCAGTGCCTCCGGATCGCTGCGTTTGCGTAGATAGTTGAAGCAGCAGGTTCTGTTGAACAAAAATGTAAGGCAATCGGCAAAGACTTGATCTGAATAGAATATACAGATACACTTACCGAAAATGTTTGGTTCCGCAGGCACTGGCACACTCCTTGCCACAGGAGTCACATGGTATGGCATTGCAGCACGTAAAACACATAAAGCACATGCCTGCAGATTTGCAGGCAATATAATTATTAAAAAACAAATAAAAAACAGAACTAGAGCATTGTCTACTCACATAGCAAAATTATTTGCATATTCATTTCGTCGCACTTTTCTGAAGTTGGAAGGAAGTTCAATTATTTCTGAAACTCATAGGAAGTCTTGGTGGATTGGACTGTCCCGTGTAAACAGCAGCAGCAACTGAAAGGACTGAGCTATTTGTCAATCAGCTTTTATACATTTCTAAAGATGCAACACTCTCATACACCCACACATAAACACCCACACATAGTCACCGCAGGGGTAGTTAAATTCAAAGTGGCCATTGAAGCATGTCGCATGGACAGTAAAGAGATTCATCCAAGTATACATGTGGACATGTGTTGCATAATAAATTAACGGACAATTGCAGCTTGCGCAACAAGTTGTTGTAGCATACTTTTGAAGATGGTGGCTGCTTCTGGGGACGACCGCAATCAAAACATTTTGTAACAGGTTATAAAAGTTTTTCAACTGGCAAGCTATGCATATAAATCAAGCCTTTAAGGGAAAGATATTTTAGGATGGACAATTATTAGATTAAAATGATTACGCTTAGCCTATCGGATCTAAATCAAGTCTTAGACATATGGAGACAAAACATTTACCAAAAATACAATTAGGTGTTTGCATATAGCTTCAAATATTTTGTCATGATTAAATCAATGCCAGCTTAGAGTAGCATAAGAAAACCATTCCAGAAATAGATTCAATTTAAATTAATGTGAATTTATAAAAAAAAATACAATAACAACTTCTGAATATTTTGAATGTTCTGATTTGCAAATCTTAATAGGAATATAATTTCAGTTTTATATTCAAATTTTTAAAAAACATAAGGGACGTCGAATTAAAATATATTCATTTGATATTAGCTGGCTCTAATTAGCAAATGTTATTACTAAGAATACAATAAAACTATACAATATTAAAAAAAATATATAAATTAATGATAAGGCACGTAAAATAATAAATGTTTCGCATTCAAATTTTCTTGAGATTTGGCGATATACATGAGAATATTCATATGATATTAGCAGGTGCTGATATAAAAAAAAAAGAAAAAAAAAGAACAAAATCATTACAATTTCACCATTCTAAATTTGGTCACACTTAACAATATACGTTACGATATTCGTGGGATATGAAAACGAGGTGGCAACGCCGACGACCAGAAGCAACAGCTGTGAAATCACAGCTGCTACAATAAATAAACCTAAATTTGAGTAGAGTTGGATTATTTCCCCCAAATAAAACGAAGACTAACTGACCATGTGGGAGCCGCCTCGACTGAGTGCATCGCTACGAGCCAAAACGGAACTCGAATCGAAAAAGAGGCGTTACAGTGGACTGAACCATGTTCGAACGAAATCAGCTGTAGCTTCCACGCAGACAAATTTGAAAGAGTGAGCTGATATATTTTCACAACTGGTGAAATACCCTTGACACATGATAAATAAATATAAAAACTGTATGCAATTTTTATCACAAGGAAAGCGGAACAGACTATAGGGCAATTGCTGGCGCAGTTGCCGGCTGATAAGCAGCCGGTATGCAAGGTGCAGCTGCAAAAGCTGCGCAATTTGGTCCAGGAAAGCATGGGCTACGAGGAGCAGCCCCAGGTTGTGGAGCATGCAGCACTGTATCTGTTCTGGCTGATGCTGGATCAGCGTGTGCTGCTGGTGGCCACCACCAATCGGCTGCACACAATGTTCGGCAACACATTCGATCGGAATCGCACGCAAATCCACAAATCTGTGCTGGCTGTGGCCGCTGAGCTTGAGGAGTACGAACTACTGGCCCTGAAGCGCTGGAGGCACTCGCAGGGAAGGACATCATCAGAGCGCCCGCTCTGGGGCGAAAATGTACGCGTCAGCTGCACCCCAGCTGACTGGTTGGATGTTAGCTTCCTGACGGATCTTTCGCCAGATGCGCTGCTCAACAATCGCACCGTCAACAAGTTTTCCATGGAGTACAAGACCGACGGCACAGAAGTGTCGGCAGTAAGACTGCCAGCCGTGGACGGCTACAAGTTAAGCGCACAGTTGGAGTCGCTGCTGAGCCTGTCGGAGAAAATGGAGGATGACGATCTGTTAACTCGGGTGGGTGACATGCTCAGCTCCAAGCGCAGCAGCGAGATTCTGCAGAACGAGCTAATGGAACTGCTGGGCTTTGAGCATTTCGAACTGGTTGGCCAGTTGCTGCAAGATCGCTCCAAGATTGCCCAGCAGCTGGAGCAATACGCAACGCGAACGCGACGTCTCAAACAGGTGAAGCAGAAGCGTCAACAGGCCACAGCCGGCAACGAAAAGCGTCCGACAGTGGCTAGCGCAGTTGTGGTGCAGTCAGCAGAGGAGCGGGAGCTGGGCAAGCAGCAGCGACGCGAGGAGAAGAAACTGCAACGCATCATGCGCAACATCAAGGATAACGACAAAGAGGATGACGAGACGTCCGGTGCTGTAGCCATCTCAGCGCAACAGCTACGCATGCAGTACCAGCGCAAACTACTGGAGGCAGCCCAACGAGAACCACTGCTTCTCTCCACCAAAGCATTGAAAGCAGAGCAGTCCACGTACACGGCACCCATACGCTATCCCTATGTCTTCGATAGCCAACGGGAGGCCAAACAGCATGCCGGATTTATTGGTGGCAGCCGCATTACATTGCCGGACAATGCTGTACGTATCGACAGTAAGCAGTGGGAGGAGGTCAAGATACCGGCCAGCGAGCCACCGCCTCTGACCGTGGGCAATAAGCGCATCCAAATCGAAGAGCTGGACGACATTGGTCAGATGGCGTTTGCCAACTGTAAGGAGCTAAATCGCATACAATCTGTGGTTTATCCGGTGGCCTATCATAGCAATGAGAACATGTTAGTCTGTGCTCCCACTGGCGCCGGCAAGACGAATGTCGCAATGTTGAGCATTGTGCATACGATTCGCTGTCATCTGGAGCAAGGCGTGATCAATCGAGATCAGTTCAAGATTGTCTACATTGCGCCCATGAAGGCATTGGCCGCCGAAATGGTAGAGAACTTCTCCAAGCGTTTGAAATCGCTGCAGATCAGCGTGCGCGAGCTGACCGGCGACATGCAGCTGACCAAGGCTGAGATGGCCGCCACCCAGATACTGGTCACAACGCCAGAGAAGTGGGATGTGGTAACCAGAAAGGGTAATATAAAATATATATATATATAAACCGAAACAAAATAGATTTGTCTGCTCTTCCAGAGGTTATATTTTTATATTATCTAACTTGCAGCCGGTGGCGATGTGGCATTGGTCAGTCTTGTCCAGCTGCTCATCATTGACGAAGTGCATCTGCTACACGGCGAACGTGGACCCGTTGTGGAGGCGCTAGTGGCCCGCACCTTGCGTCTGGTGGAATCCTCGCAGTCCATGATCCGCATCGTGGGCTTATCGGCAACGCTGCCCAACTATATTGATGTCGCCCGCTTTTTACGCGTGAATCCCATGAAGGGTCTGTTCTACTTTGACTCCCGTTTTCGACCTGTGCCCTTGGATACCAACTTTATTGGCATCAAATCGGTAAAGCCGCTGCAGCAGATCGCCGACATGGATCAATGCTGCTATCAGAAGTGCGTCGAGATGGTACAGCAGGGCCATCAGGTAATGGTCTTTGTGCACGCTCGCAACGCCACCGTGCGGACGGCCAATGTGCTGCGCGAGCTGGCTCAGCAGAACAACACGAGTGCTTTGTTTTTGCCAAAGGATAACAATGCATTTGGCTTAGCCAGCCGTTCCATACAGAAGAGCCGAAATAAGCAGCTGGTGGAGCTGTTCTCCTGCGGCTTGGCAATGCATCATGCTGGCATGCTGCGCGCCGATCGCCAAATGGTGGAGAAATATTTTGTGGAGGGTCACATCTCGGTGCTGGTCTGCACAGCGACGCTAGCCTGGGGCGTTAATTTGCCAGCCCATGCGGTCATCATACGCGGCACAGATATCTACGATGCGAAGCATGGCAGCTTTGTGGATCTGGGTATACTGGATGTACTGCAGATCTTTGGTCGAGCGGGTCGTCCGCAGTTCGATAAGAGCGGCGTAGGCACCATCATAACCAGCTACGACAAACTTAATCACTATCTCTCCTTGCTGACCAATCAATTCCCAATCGAATCCAACTTTGTGCAATGTCTGGCTGACAATTTGAATGCCGAAATTGGGTTGGGCACTATTACCAACGTGGAGGAGGCCATCGAGTGGCTTAGCTACACGTAAGTCACATTTAAAAGGAATTACAATTTATAAAGATATTATTTTTATTTATAGCTACCTTTTTGTCCGCATGCGCATTAATCCACACGTCTATGGAATCGAGTACACGGAACTTCAGCAGGATCCAACGTTGGAGGCACGCCGTCGCGCTTTAATCATGTCCGCATCGATGAGCTTGGATAAGGCCAAGATGATGCGTTTCAATCAACGAACGATGGACATGAATATCACTGACTTGGGCCGCACTGCATCGCATTTCTATATCAAATATGACACGGTGGAAACGTTCAATGAACTTATGAAGCCGTTCATGAACGAAGCAGAGCTGCTGGCCATGATGTCGCAGGCACAGGAGTTTCAACAGCTCAAGGTGCGCGATGACGAACTGGAGGAGTTGGATGAACTACGCGAATACTACTGCAAACTGAAGGCCTTCGGAGGCAGCGAGAATGTTTGCGGCAAAGTAAGCAACTAGATAATATTTGAAAAAAATTTGGCGAAATGATTTTCATCTTTCCCATTCTATCCAGGTGAACATCCTAATACAAACGTATCTGTCCAATGGTTATGTCAAGTCATTTTCATTGATCTCCGATATGTCGTATATAACGCAAAATATTGGCAGAATTGCACGCGCCTTGTTCTCGATTGTGTTGAGGCAGAACAATGCCATTTTGACTGGTCGCATGCTGGAACTGTGCAAGATGTTCGAGCGCAGGCAGTGGGAATTTGACAGCCATTTGCGACAGTTTCCAGCTATCAATGCGGAGACCATTGACAAACTGGAGCGCCGTGGTCTGAGCATCTATCGTCTGCGGGACATGGAACAGCGCGAGCTAAAGGAATGGCTGCGCAGCGATCGCTATGCAGAGCTGGTCATACGCTCGGCACAGGAACTGCCCCTGCTGGAGGTGGAAGCCAGCCTGCAGCCGATTACACGAACCGTGCTGCGCATCTCGATAACCATCTGGCCGGATTTCACTTGGAACGATCGTGTGCATGGCAAGACCAGCCAAAGCTTCTGGCTATGGATCGAGGATCCGGAGTCGAACTACATTTACCACTCGGAACTTTTTCAGCTGAGTCGCAAGTCCGTTTTTAGCGGCAAGTCGCAGCAGCTCGTGATGACCATTCCATTAAAGGAGCCATTACCGCCACAGTACTACATACGCGTGACCAGCGATACCTGGCTGGGCAGCACCAGCTGTGTGCCGCTCTCCTTCCAGCATCTCGTTCTGCCCGAACATCATCCGCCGCTGACGGAGTTGCTCCCACTGCGTCCGCTGCCCGTGAGCAGTCTGGAAAATGAGATCTACGAATCACTGTACAAGTTCACACACTTCAATCCCATACAGACGCAAATCTTTCACTGTCTCTACCACACGGACAACAATGTGCTGCTCGGTGCACCGACGGGCAGTGGCAAAACAATTGTCGCGGAAATTGCCATTTTCCGTGCACTGAATCTGGACCCTAAATGTAAAGTGGTTTATATAGCTCCGTTGAAGGCGCTCGTCAAGGAACGGATTGCGGATTGGCAGCAGCGTTTCGAGCAATCCGAGTTGGGGCTTAAAGTCGTTGAGTTAACTGGTGACGTTACGCCGGACATTAGGGCCATACGTGAATCGCAGTTGATTGTGACGACGCCGGAGAAATGGGACGGCATTAGTCGCTCGTGGCAGACCCGCGACTATGTCCAGCATGTGGCATTGATTGTGATCGATGAGATTCATCTGCTTGGTGAAGATCGTGGTCCCGTCATCGAGGTCATTGTTTCCCGCACCAATTTCATTAGCTCGCACACTGGCCGCTCCATACGCATTGTGGGCTTGTCAACGGCACTGGCGAATGCGCAGGATTTGGCCAACTGGCTGGGCATTGAGCGCATGGGTCTCTACAATTTCAAGCCATCGGTGCGACCCGTGCCACTGCAGGTGCACATCAATGGCTTCCCCGGCAAGCACTATTGTCCGCGCATGGCCACGATGAATCGACCCACCTTCCAGGCAATACGCACGTATTCGCCGTGCGAGCCGACCATTGTGTTTGTCTCCTCGCGTCGACAGACACGTCTAACAGCCTTGGATCTGATCACTTTTGTGGCTGGCGATGAGAATCCCAAACAGTTTCTGCACATTGCCGAGCACGAAATGGAGCTGATAATGCAGAACATACGCGATCAGAACTTGAAGTTCTGTCTGGCCTTTGGTATTGGACTGCATCATGCCGGTCTGCAGGAGCCGGATCGTAAGTGTGTCGAAGAGCTGTTCCTAAATCGGAAGATACAGATTCTAGTGGCCACCGCCACGCTGGCCTGGGGTGTCAATCTGCCCGCCCATCTGGTGGTCATCAAGGGCACCGAATACTTCGACGGCAAGGTAAAGAAATATGTGGACATGCCCATCACAGATGTGCTGCAGATGATGGGACGCGCTGGTCGGCCGCAGTTTGATAACGAGGGCGTTGCCGTCGTTCTGGTGCACGATGAGAAGAAGAACTTTTACAAGAAGTTCCTCTATGATCCGTTCCCAGTTGAGTCCAGTCTGCTGGGCGTATTGCCGGAGCACATCAACGCTGAGATCGTGGCGGGCACTGTGCAAACCAAACAGGCGGCACTGGATTACCTCACCTGGACCTATTTCTTCCGACGACTATTGCGCAATCCATCCTACTATCAACTGGAGGGCATTGAGCCGGAGAATGTGAACGCCTTCATGTCCAGCCTGGTGGAACGTGTCCTCTACGAGCTGGAGGGTGCTGCCTGTGTCGTTGAGCGTGAGGGGCAACTTGTGCCCACGTTTCTGGGCCGCATCAGCTCCTACTACTATCTGTCATACCGCACAATGAAGCATTTCCTCGAGAACCTCCACCCGGGCATGGACACCAAGGAAGTGCTGCTGGCCATTTGTGATTCCTATGAGTTTGACCAGCAACCTGTGCGTCACAACGAAGATAAGCATAACGAAGAGCTAGCCGAGACGACTCGCTTCCGTCCGCCATCGGCCAGTTGGGATTCGCCCTACACAAAGACATTTCTGCTGCTCCAGGCGCATTTCTCACGCCTGCCACTGCCCAACTCAGACTATCTGACCGATACCAAGTCAGCGCTGGATAATGCCACGCGCGTCATGCAAGCCATGGTGGACTACACGGCGGAACGGGGCTGGCTATCGACCAGTTTGGTCATACAACAATTGATGCAGTGCGTCATCCAGGCACGCTGGTTCGATGCATGCGAATTCCTCACGCTGCCGGCTGTCAATGAGGACAACGTCGATGTCTTTCTCAACATATTACACGATACACACGATTACCTCACGCTGCCAGTGCTTAAGGAGCTATGCAGCAAGGACTATGAAGTGCTGGCATCGCCCCTACGTAATGTATTCGAAGAGCATGAGATCGAGCAGATGCACAGGGTAAAGTGTTCAAATATATCCCAAATAATATTGTATTTAATATGAATTCTCTTCTTCAGGTTATTCAAGGTCTACCCGAAATCTCTCTGAAAATCACTGTCGAGGGTCGTTATCTGGAGGAAGAGTGCGCCAAGCGACCGCTGTCAATTGACGATAGTTCTGTGGTCTGGACACCACTGCATGCTAACGAGGACTATGTTCTGAGCGTTGATCTGCTCCGTCTAAACACGGCTGGACATCGTAGAAGTGCCGCCCAAGGGAACACCATACATTGTCCCAAGTATCCAAAGCCCAAGAATGAGGCTTGGTTCTTAACCCTCGGGTCGCAATCCAATGACGAGCTGCTAGCCATGAAGCGACTGACGCTGCGTGGGACACGCTCCTCCAACCACATTGCCTTCCAGGCAACGCCCCGCCGCGGGCGATTGCTGCTAACGTTATATCTTATGTCCGATTGTCTGATTGGATTCGATCAGCAATACGAATTGCATTTTGAAATTATTGATGCAAAGGCATAGGCCATGCAAGAGTCAATGAATACATACATCCCATTACCACGATCGTAACTATTCTTCCAAATGGAGGCTTGTTGAGCCATATTTATAGAGTAGTTAAACCAGCAGCGCTGCTTATTCATGAAATGTGATCTGCCAGCCTAGATACATATGTCAAACAGTTGTATATTGCTATAGAATGCTATGTTAAGTTTCATGTTAACAACCCGTATTAAAGAAAACTTTGTACTAGCTGAATTTAATCGTGAAATATGAATTATTCATGGCAGTTGATAAAACAGACAACATTGTCATTGCACCATTTTGTGGCAGTGAAAACTAAAATACCTTTCATTCAAAATACATCTGCCCACTTCCCCTTATTCACAACGACTCCACTCTTCTTCTTCTTCAATTTGGTGATCACACAGTTGAAATCAATCGACATCGATATCGATGTTAAGTACATAGCTGCATGTTACGTTACAGATGTTATTTTACAGCATTACAACTACATCACTAGTAGCCCGTTACCCATATTACAAAAGGTCTGCTACAACTCAGCCACCCTGACCATGAGATAGTCCTCTTGTATATTTGGAGTTTACAATGTTTTTTTTAACTTATACCATATATTATTAACTTTAATATTTAATTTTAACGATGGAACTTGAACATATTTTGAGCGTCTTCCCTGTAAGTGTATTCTAAATCCACGAATCGCATAAATAATAGCCAGTATTATGCTTCTGTTGTAGTTCGTTTTGAGAAATTGAAAATTGGGTGCAGCGTTCCATTTTGCTTCTGCAAAATTACTGCCCCAAATCCTATTGCACTTGCACCACAGTGCAATTCAATATCCTATACCCTGTAATCGTAGATTGCTAGTACCGGCGCTTTCAACTTCTTTTTTAAATTTAAAAAGTTTTGTTTCAGCAACTGCAATGTTGCAACATGCTTTTCTCAGAAATATCTTGTAAAACTTCATCTAACCAAATTCTTTCTAAAACTCCGCTAACAAACAAGTCAACCTTATTCTTGATAATATACCTGTGCACTTGGACTTATTTAAATATCCTCAACTGAAATTATTTTCAAGACGCTTAGGTCAATTTTTAAATCACAGGCTTGCTGAAAATTATATTTTAATTGGCTTTCATTTAGCCCAAAATAATTCTCAACGTGAGTTTGGAGTTCTATTCCTTGAGGAACACTGTTTCATCCAATATAAGAAATAGGACTGCACGAGTCTACGCATCCATAGCACGAACCAGATTGGTTCATTTGGGCTTTCAACAGCTCTTAGCCTGATGTCCTTTGATGTTTCAATTGAAACAGCGCGAGTCCTTAGGAATGATGGCACCCCTTAACACCTTCAGCTTCGCTGCACTAAGCTATCTAGCCATGCTTTGCTCCGGAAACAACACATCTGCGATTGCATCTTGGTTGGGTTATCGAAGCACTGGACCTGGGCTTGGATGCGAATTCTTTCATTCGGGATTCCTGTAATTAGGCCATCCAGCAACTCCTCGTCATACATGTCTAATTCCTGAGCCATCAATGTCTTGCGCTCAAAGTACATTGCAAACTTCTCCTGGGACTTCCATATGCAAGCCTCAAACTTGCGTCGTAGTTCTGCTTTAGTCATCTTCCCACCAAACGCAATCATTAAGTTCTCTAATAACTCAACAAATTGTTTGACAATACGTGCCATAGCAATGCATCGCCCTTAAGCCTGGCTAAACATAAAAGCGGCGCTGTGTCTTAGTCAATTAGTGCATTTCGGCAACATTTTCCAATTGTCTGATCCAATTGCGAGCTGAAAAATTACGATCGAAATCCGTCGACGAAAATGCTGGCGACAACTTGACGGCGACCACCGTTGACTGCCCCCGTTGTCAGCTACCTCCCTCCATACATTCACCGTTATTTTCAACCGCTTGCCAGCGAATAGGCATCGATACTGACGCCTGCAAACGTAGCTGCTCGAGTAAATTCTTCGCTGAAGCTATTTCACCACTTGGTGCCCTTGAAGATTTCGTCAAGTTGCATTTCGAAAATGTTCCCTTGGGATATTAGGAAGCTGCTCAATCAAATCTTATTTTCTAACTCACTTGCTGGCACCGAGTTCAATCGCGCCAGCATTTCGGCTTTGGCGCCTTCGTTTGTAGACCCAGAGTAAGCAACCATTTTTTTTAGAGTGGCTACCGGTACGTCCTTGATATTGGAGATTGATATTAATTGAATGTGAATTGCATTTTTTATCCCAATTCTGATATTGTGGCTATCAAAACTAAAATACCTTTCCTTTCAGAACACGACTCCTCTCTGCTTCTTCAAGTTAGTGATCACACCGTTGATATCGACTTAACATCGAGATCAATGTTAAGTACATAGCATGTTAGGTTGCGATGTTATGTTACAGTCTTGATGATTTTATTCGGACTAAAAAGTCGAAAGATGAGAAACGATAATGACTTATAAATACTATACGGAGACTTTTAATTGAACCTACCCCAAGTTTAGCTGGTTTTGAATATCTACCACAAGCTTGAGTCCAATCTGATAACCTTAACAAATTTTTCAAAGTAGATAACTCTACTGGTAACTTTTACAAAGCGCTGACAACAAAGAGCACGAATGTTGTGAAATCAGAGAGTGTATAAATTACACATGCAATGTGCTGAAAGCAGTCAGAAGCGTTTTATATTTACTCGCGTTGCGTGCATATTGA